TTTAACATGGGGGGAGGCTCAGTAATACTTTGTAGATATATATATATATATATATATATATATATATATATATATATATATATATATATATATATATATATATATATATATATATGCATTTTTTGCATATTTTACCAAAGTTCAGAAAATATTGCATATTTCACTAAAGTTCAGAAAATTTGAGAAAATATTGCATATTTTCGAAAAAAAAAATGTATTACTATGCTGTGCAAATTAGAAATTGTTTTAACAGAATATGGAGATAGATATATTTGAAATAAAGACCTTTTAAATTTTTAGATTTGTTTTTTAGCGTCACTTCTTGTAAATTAGTTTTTACGGGTTGGCATACACCGGGTTTTTACCTTCGTAACACTTAATTCAAGACAAGTGACAGCGGTACATTTTTAAATCTAACAAACGTTTCCTGAAGTAATTAAGCAAAAAATAAAAGACTTTATTAAGCGTTTTAGGTTCTAAATATTATAAAGAATGATGAAAAGTCCATCATTTACTTTGAATGCATATTTTTTTTAAAAAGGGATATTTTAGAATGATTTAAAAGTTATGGACTTTCCATCATTTTTTATAATATTTAAAACCTAAAACACAAAATACAATTTTTTATTTTTGCCTAATTACTTAAGGAAACGTTTCTTAGATTCAAAAAATTTACCGCTGTCAGTGTCATTGGGTTAAGTCTTAAGAGATTAATCCCATTAACGTTATTGTTTTTGGATTGGTATAATTGTTATTGGATTGGTATAATTGTTATTGGATTGGTATTTCCACGCACAGATAAAGTATTACTTACAATGCAATAAAACGGTTTATTAAAAATTCCCAGTAATTTCTTGAAAACAATTTACCCGGATCGGTGTTTTTAATAGAAAATTTCAAAAAAATATTTAATTATAAATTCCTATTATAATATTATTAGTTGAAATTTTAATTTTAAAAATTACTTTGTTCTGGTATCGTTTTAGAGAAAATCCTATATATTTTTAATTAATTTTATAATGTATTTTTATACATCCTATGCTTAACTTCTTATATACAGGGTGTTTTCTAATCTCTGACAAAAGAAAGGAGGAGAATTCTCACCTAATTTTAAGACAAAAATGTACTATAACAATTTTTAGAATGTCGCTTTGTTTTCGAAATACAGGGTGTTAAGAAAATTAAAATTTGATGCGTTTTTTTTTTATTATTAATTAATGGCAAACGATAGTCCAGTGATATTTGGTTAATCTAATCACGTTCTATCAAGTTTTTGACATTTTATGAAATTAAGAAATAGGTATTGAAGTAAAATAAAAAAAAATATCTTGATTGATTTTAGTGGGGAAAATGAACATGTTTGTTATAAAAATTATTCAGGTTCATCTACTAGCATGGAAGCAAATATAATTGCTGATGGGTTTCGTAATAGTCTTGGTATGTATAATATTATATATAATAAAATGATAGCGGATGGTGACAGTAGTTGCTACAAAAAAAATTATAGATAGTCGTCCTTATCCAACATGTGTAGTACAAAAAATAGAATGCCGGAATCATTTATTGCGCAATTATTGCAATAAATTAAGAGAAATTGCAAAAACAAGAGGAGTTTCGGGAAGTTTAAAAACTGTGATTAATAATAATATTTTAAAGGCAAGAACAGCTGTTACGAAAGCTATTGCACATAGAAAAACAGAACAAAGCAATACCGAGGAAGAAAAAATTAAATGTCTTCGTCAAGACATTTTAAATAGTATTAGCCACATATTTGGGGAGCACAGAAATTGTAATAAATTAAAATATTTTTGTAGTAAAACAGAAGCCGATAAGAACAATTACATGTCTGATTTAAAAACTTTTAAACTAGACGAAAAAATTAACGAAGTATGTAGATTCTTGGCTGGGCATTCTAGAAGCTTATTAGAGAATGTCGACACAAATTTGGTGGAGCAGTTTAATGCCATGATTGCACAAAAAGTAGGTGGTAAAAGGGTAAATTACACCCAAAGAAGATCATACCAAGGTAGATGTTTTGCTGCCGTTGTTGCTAAAAACACCAGAAGGCCGCTGTTTACTGTTTACAAGCATTTGCTACATGGACGTAATGCACATTTTAATATATTTAATCATGAAACTAGATTAAAAAATAAATCAGAACGAAAAAAGGGATTGAAAAGGCGTAAACAAATATTTTCTACTATAGATACAAATTATGGACAGGAATGCAAAAAACCAGATATTGATAAGGCTACTTTTGATGCACTACAGAAAGAATATATAACTGATTTAGAAAAGAGTGAAGAAGAATTTGTTGAACTAGAAAAAAGAACAAAACTACAAGCAGACTCTGCAGAATGGCTGCAAATAAGAAAGAAAATTTTAACTGCATCCACATTTGGCCAAGTTTGTAAAATGCGTCAAACAACAGGCTGTAATTCAATAGTTCAAAATATATTGTATAAAAATATTTGTACAAAAGCGACTGTTTGGGGCAAAAATAACGAAGATAGAGCGAAAGGGGTCTTTGAAAGAAAATATCCCAATTTAAAGATTTTAGACTGCGGAATTTTTATCAATAGTCAGTGGCCATTTTTAGGAGCTTCTCCAGACGCAATTATATCCAATGATAGTCTTTTAGAAATTAAGTGCCCCTACTCAGCGAGAAATACAACAATTAAAGAAGCAGTAGAAAGTCGGTTAATTGTGTATTTAAAAAGTTCAGGAGATGGATTTGAACTTAACAAAAATCATAATTATTTTTATCAAGTTCAAGGGCAACTCAATATCTGGGAAAAAACGACCTGTTACTTTGTAGTATAGACGTTACACGATTTTGTGTGCCTGAAAGTACATAAAGATGAATCTTTTTTTAAAAATATAATGTTAAAAAAATTAGAAATGTTTTATTACAATTGCCTACTACCAGAAATTATTGATCCAAGACACCCCCGAAGTATGAAAATCAGAGATCCTCAGTACATATTAGATGCCCAGGAAAAATGCGCAGAAAGGAAAAACAGTCAAGAAGGAAAGAGAAAAATCCAAACCAGTAAACCAGATCACAAAATTAAGAAGCAGAAAGTCCTTGAAAATCCTAAAACACAACAGCTTCCAGACGACTTATCCCATTAAAAAGTGTGATACATAATACGAAAGTACCTGTGGTGGTTAATATAGTAATGTTTAAACAAAAACTGGTTTTTGAAAATTATGTATTCTAAATTATTCATAGTCGGATTTTTCTTATTTTCTTCTTCATTTTTTGAAAATGAACTTAAATTTACATTTTTAGAAATGTAAGTCTTGCTATACCTTTGAAATTTGTATTATATATAGAATTAATAGTTAGTACTATTTACTATACTTTGTATGAGATCAGTGTTAATATTTGCTAGAGTAATTTTTTATTTGTGTACTTATTAACAATATTGTAAAATGTTTCTCTGGCAAAAATGTAATCGACATGTACAATATTTATACATACTGCTGTATAGATATTTTAATTGTTAATAAAATTCTCCGAATATTTTTATCCATTTAATTGAAAACTATATTTTTGCAACATTTTTTATCATAGTACGTAATAATTACATGTTAATCTACATGTCTAGTGTTATACTGTTCAAAATTATTTAATACAACTGAAACTGAAGATCCTGTTGACTCTACATTTTTCTATAATTTGTTTTAATTTTGTTTTGTTTGTTAAAAGTTTGATTTAATAATATAATAAAATTATGCCACAATTACCTAGCTATTATTTTTCTAAAGTACTAGAATTTTTTGGAAGAAAATTAATGACTTACGATTTATCTTCGCTCCAGTGCAAATAACTAACGAAAATTTTGATATAAAATATCATTGCGAGAGTGTTTGTGCAACAAGAGGAGCGTCGATCACAATGGAAAAAACCGCTATCAATTCAACGGCCGAGGCATTCGCCCCGACGTTTAAAAGCCGCTACAGGTTTTATTATTAAAAATAGACCACGTATTAATTGACACAAAATGCAGCTCATTAAATTTCACAGTTTTGAAAAAAAAAAACATTTAAATAGCTCTTTGCATAAGAAAGTTATGGCAAGGTGAGTTAATTTTTGTTTGTCAATTTGTTATCTTTTTTTAAATTATACTGTTTTTTCATATAGTTTACAACATTTTTGCAAAAAACAAATACACCAAAAAAAAGTAAATTGAATAAGGAATAAAACAAAAAAGTTGTTTTTTAACTATTTTAGCAAAAAAGTTAAAAAGTTAAGTGTTCAAAGTTAACAAAAAAAAGTTTTTTTTCTGTTTTTTGCCTATATCTTTTGTTTTGTCCAATAAAGATGGTCATCAATTTCCATTTTCAATGTAATAAAACATATTTTTTCAAATAGTAAAGGTCAAATTTGGTTATACCTCAGTTTTTTTATGCATCCTAGACCGGGCTTTCCGTCCTACTATAGAAACGTTAAAATTATATTTGCAATCGCGCGAAGTACATTTTGGGCTGGATACTTTTTACACCTTTCCGAATAAAGGAGCCACGCCTCCGAGGCTGGTTTTAGAATTTCAGGTTATGTCAGCATCGGCAAAGTGTTTCTCGGTAGCGGACTCTTAAATAATATACAATTGAAAAATAATGGTTATTTACACCCATTGTTAGAACTACTTTATGTAATAGATGAATTTCATCTGAAGCTTCACTGATAAATATAAGAACTTGATCTGCTGTCAAAATCTTGGATTTTTTCGGAATATATCTTTTAGATTTCATCTTTAAAAACGTTATTAGCCGGGAAAAATGAGAAATATTGGTATTTTCATTGACTATCAGTGTAAATTTTAAAATAGAATATTTCGTCTACAATGACGTTGGAGAAAATTTTTCGGTCTGAAAAAAATCAAACACATAAACTAAATAAAAAATAATTTTAAATACACTGTCTTGTGTCATTCCAATTGAACATGAAACAAATATTTTCCCAACTTTACTTCGTATAAGGGATCGAACGTGTGTCTTTTGTGCGTGTCAGTAGGTGTGTCTTTTGTGCGTGTCAGTAGGTAGGTATTTTAGTTTGCAAAATTTTCTAAAAATTAACTATTGTCCAATTTTGCAGGAGTGTCCTTGAGTTGCGCAATAGGTACCTTGGGTATTTTTATTTTTCATTCTATAAATAAGCGAAAACACTCTTTAGTTTTTCAGCCCAGATTTTGGATAAACTTTAATTAGGTAAATATCTCTGTTTAGGTACATAATGTTTAACCACTAGAACTATAATCCACTTTATATTGACCTCATTTGACTTTTATTTTGGTGTTGAATCTAAATTTACAGGTTAGAATAATTGATTTGTTTTTTGGAATATTAACTAACAAGACTAGATCTTAATATAAATAAAACGCTAAGCTTAATATACCAATGACAGTATACATATTTATTATAATTGAATTTTCTTACTTAACTATTTTATTTTATTGGAATTAACACAAAAAACATTCAAAAATGGTTTTATTCAAGCAATCTCTGGACGTGATGTATTTTTGTTCACCTATATACTAGTATTTGGGCACACCAGAGACGAACTCGCTTTATTTAAACTGATTTTAAGGAAAATTTCATGAAAACTCCTTTATTTTTGAATATTTATAAATAATTTGCTTGCAGATAAGATCAGTGATGTCTAATTACAGGGGTGTCTCTCACGATTGTTGAGATATTTAATAATACCTAATCCATGTTTAAGTATTTGACATTTTTTACATAGAAGGACCTATAAAAATTATTGACTGAAATACCCAGTCTGTTATTATAAATTTATTGTTTACGTTTGTTCCATATTATTTTAATTCCGTTTAGAAAACAACATTTTTTGGCGAACTGTGGCTCGTCTACAACGGCCTTTAGTATCCAATTTATAGATTGCCATCTCCTCTCTGGATAATAAACATTTTAGACTCTAACGCCCACTGAATTCGTATTATTAATTTTTTTATTAGTTTTGATATACAGGGATATTTATTAATTGAGTGCCGATACTTAAGGGTGTGAATCTCTGGATGATTTTAGGAAGAAAAGTTAATATTGACATATTAGGTCTGCTCTAACAATGATTAAAAACCAGTCACTGACACCAGGTTTCTGAGCAGTTGACTATTTGGAACACCAAATTATATACTACGCAGAATCCTGGTGTAAGTGACTGGTTTCTGATCGTTGTCGAAAAAATCTTTTTTGGTTTTAATTTTTTTTTTCACACGAAAACGGTGCGCCTTACGAAAATAAGTCTATGCACCAAATTTGTTCCAAAATAAATGATGATATCAAAAATAATTTTAGTTTTTATAAAAAACAATGGCGTTACATTTTTTTTTTAAATATTCGGTTCAAACCCACCACGTCAAAAAATGCTCCTTAATGATTAAAACATGTTCACAAAATTTCAGAAAAATATCTGGAGGGAATTATGATAAAAAATAATTTTTTTCTTAAAACTGTAACAACTTGTTACTTAAAAATTAAAAGGTTTGAGATATATATGTGATATTAACTTTTCTTCTTAAAATTAAGGATTCACACTCAATTAATAAACACCCTGTACATCTCATATTTTAAGTTTTAGCTAGCAACATCTAGATATGAGCTGCAAAATTCAATTGTCATCAATACCGGAAGTTGGATCTAGCTTTAATGGAAAAGTAATATGTCAAATTCCCAATGCAATAAGGACAAGAGGTTAGAAATTACTTAATATTCTTCTTTTTTTTTGTCCAGCCTGATACCTATCCTCTAAGCAGTGTCCAAAAATAGTTATTTGTGTACCAAGGCCGTAAATTTGATCTTTTTTGACCGAATCAGAAATTTGCGGCCGAAGGGTAGCCGAGGCCAAGCAACTTCTGGTGAGGTAAAAAAAGATCATGCGGCCGAGGTACACACAACATTTCTTAGGCGACTGTATCATCAGGATACCTATTCTCTAACTCATGGGAGCACTCCCACACTCCCATGCTCCCATACTCCCATGCCAACGTTGCCAAGTCGACAGAATAACTTTGATCTACTATTTAAGGACCGATCCACCGTTGTGTTAAACGAAGTTTAAAATGACATTTTTACATTAACAATGTCATTTTAATCTCCGTTTAACTCAACGGTGGAATCGGCCCTTAGTAGTTCAAATTTGCTTTGTGATAAATACGGACCTAATCTGGCAAGCCCGCAATTCTCCCTCCCATAGTATAAAATCTGACTTTACTACGCATGTACCTGTGCTAAAAGTGAGTAAGCACGATATACCCACCTAAGAGTAAGAGAGCAAAATATATGGGAGCACTCCCATGGGAGCGCTCCCATGACTTAGTGAATAGCTATCCAGGTAGATCAAACATTTTTTTCTTCTTATTCGTGAAATTATAAAACACCTAAATTTAACACAATATAATTATTAAAAAAATAAAAAAATATTAAAACGTATTACCATCCACATTAAGTAGTTCCCATCTAGAGCTTCTATTAGGAATGTATTTACATCATTTCTTGTAAAAACTAGTTTTGAAATCTTGTTAATATCAATATTATTTTTGACCATAATTGTTGATTTTAACATCGAGTATATGGACGATAGCGTTGATGATTTTAAAAGTTTGGTCTTTCCCAAGAAAATGCAATGAATACTTACTTCTCTTAAATTTTTAACCGTATGTATGTTGCACCATTCCATAAAAAGTTCGTATTGTTTTAGATAGATTTGACGGGATTTTTCTGGTAACAAATTTAAAGTCGTTGTATTTGCGGCTTCATAATTTTCAGCTGGATTTTGTCACTATCAGTCATTTTGCTTTTTTATCGTTTTTATTATATATTAACGAATTTTTTTGTATTAGGCATTCCAAAAAAAGTGGCTGCCAGTGGGTTGTGACAAATAAACTGGAGTAGGGTAGAATGCCAATGTGCATGTTGTATTAATAGAACTAGGTGCGACCCTATGGGCTCAGCCATTTTTATTTTTCATCTCACTTGGGCGTATTTATAATAACCATTTTCAGTTTTACATTGTTATTGTCCAGTCCACAATCTGGTGGATTAGTCAATAACAATGTAAAACATAAAATGGTTATTATAAATAATTCCGAGAGAGGTGAAAAATAATATGAATAATGAATAATGTGAAATTGTCCAATAACGGGAAAGGTGGATTGTCAGTTCTTTAAATAGCAAATAAAACACATTTTTATAAAAATAAAATATATTTTTAACTCAAACAAAACAAATCGGAAAATAGCAAAAATTACGACTATCAATCTATATGGCAAGCATGTTGAAATTGAAATGACAGTTGGCCGGGTTAACCCCCCCCACTTCATTTTTTGGCTGAAAAGGCTTTGTCGCTTCTCTGTGGTTGTTATTCTCGTGTTGCGTCGAATGACGCATAGTCTATAAAACAATCAGTTTTACCAAACAAACTTTCAGAGCGATGCGATATTTGAAATATAAATCGCGTCGCTCGCCGCTTCTATTCTGAACAATGCTTAAGGCTTTAGTGTTCCTCTTGACAATAGTTGAATATCATTTAATTTCTTTTTCATGGGCCAATATTGCGTTATATGAGAAAAAGCACTAGTTACAGTGGTCAAAAAAAATAAAGAGTCTATTGACTTGTAGGTTCAGTAAAAACCAAAAATGCCATTTACAATAACAGCGTACCATTAAATCTTTGATATGACGTTTACTTTCAATTTATCCATATTGGTACGTCATAAAAGAAAAGGCTTGTCATTTATTTTTATTAAAATAAATTTTTATTAACCGACTTTAAAAAAAGGAGGTTCTCAATTCGTAGGATTTATGTTCATTCATAATTCTATACCGTGTTATCCGATTTTTATAATTCTTTTTTTGTTAAAAAGAGGGCGGTCCCATATAAATTTATTCAAAATCTAATAATGGGGTCCATGATAAAATCATCGAACATTTCATTTTTTTTAATGTATGTTCAGCGATAATTCTTTACCACATTGTCCAAATTCTATTCTTTTTTGTTAGAAAGGGGTGGTCCCATGTACCTTTGGTGAAGATCTGCTGATGGGATATACAGGGTGAATCCTAAGTGATGGGTCCACTGTGGATTCGGAAGGCGAAAATAAAAATATTTTACTTAACAACAATGGGTCTGAGATCGCTCCTTTCCGATCTACAGGCTTTTAAAGTTGGAAAAAAATATTTTTGTTAATAAAGAAGACATTTTTTGAGATTCAGGTTTGAAAACTGGAGTAATTCTATTTTTTATAGGGGCAAACAAGATTATGTTATTAGATTTGAGTTATCTCGTAGATATCACAACATACGCCATATTGAAGAGAAGAAAACAGCTTAACATTTTTTGTCCCTCATTAATTAACAATTTTCGTATTAAATTTAGAAAGGCTTATTATTTTTGTATAAAGAAGTTGTACTTTTTTGATTTTTAAAATATTGACCGTTTTCGAGATATTTGAAAGTTTGTAATTCACCACCTGGTCGTCGGGCCATGGTAACCACAAAATGTAATATTCCCCTAATTGAAATCAATTCATAAAAAACGTTTAAATGATAATTAATATCGTATTCTAATATCTCTACGTAAGCCCAAAATAGTATACAGGCTTTTAAAACGTAGTTCGTTTCTAAAATTAATTTTATTTTGAGATAGTTTGTATTTATTAGGAAACAATAATACAAAATTATTTGTTTATATTAACGAAACGTATACTGCTTAACAGACCAATAATAAAGAGAACAAATTATGGTATTTTAACCTAAAAATAAAGACAAAATTATAAAACACTTGAACAAGAACCATAACAACAACATTACTTAACTAAAACGAATTTTTCTAAAACATACATCCCACATAATCTTCAGATATTGTTAACATTCAACTTAAAATACTAAATACTACAAAATATTTTTAACATGACCACCATCAACTCTTATACACTTCTGTACCCGTTTACTTAAGGATCGTCTGATCTTAAAAAATGTGGCGTTATTATTTCTAATTGAATCAGCTGCATCTATACTTCTATTCCATAACTCGTCTTTGGAATTTATAGACAGAATAAACAATAGCTTTCATGTAACCCCACACAAAAATCCAGTGGATTAAAGTCAGGGCTGCGAAGTGGCCATTGAAATTCACTACCACGACCAATCCAACGGTAAGGGAAAGTTTGATTCAGGTAATCACGTACAACCAGTGAAAAATGTGGAGGTGCACCATCCTGCATGAACCACATTTTTCTTCTTGATTGTAATGGAAGATCATCCAAAATATCGTTTAGTTCATTGGTTAAAAAATTTAAATATGACTCAGAATTTAAATTGGAAGGTAATTCAAATGGACCCAGCAATGTATCTCCTATTAAACCGCACCAGACTTTAATTTTAAGTTCGTACTGGAAATGTCTTTCTTTATTTACATGAGGATTTTCAGTTTTCCAGGCATGACTATTTCGCCAATTAAAAACTCCGTATCTGGTGAATGTTGCTTCATCAGTAAAAATTATTTTATTCAGAAATGTTCAATTATTATTCCGTTTCCTCCTAAGCCACTGACAAAACTCAACTGTTGCAGGATAATCTCTTTGAAGCAAATTTTGCACAGGTGTAAAATGATATGGGTACAAATTGTCCTTGTGCAAAATTCTAATCACGGATGATTGGCTTATTCCGGTGGTTGCAGATAATCGACGAGTGCTAACTTCACGATTTTCTGCTACTCTTACCAAAATTTCATCTTCCTGCTGTGGGTTAATAATTTTGGTATTTTAGGCGAAACGAGCCTATTTCACCCAATCGGTTATAAATTTTGAAATATCTTGTGGTTTGGTTGCCTTCGGTTTGGGTATAATTCGCGATATTTTCTAGACGCTGTCCAGAAAAATTTTCTCTTGCGTACCTAACAGCAAATCATATCTCTCATTTCTTCATTTGAATAGAGATTATGTCTCGGCATTTTCACTAATGCATCAAATTAACTCAAATCATTCGACAACAAAAATAACAAACAAATTGTTTCAGATTTTTACTCAACATTGTGCTGCTGTCAAAATTCCATGGCAAAGTGCTTTAACACATTTAATTTTAGGTACCTATCCAGTAAATACTATAATTATCGCAATCTTCCTTTTGTATTAGTGTTTCTTAATTTTTGTTTCATTATAATATAATATTTTCATAAAATAAACACAAACTATCTCAAAATAAAATTAATTTTAGGAACGACCAACTTTTTAAAACTATATACTATTTTTGGCTTACGTAGAGATATGAGAATACGATATTATTATGTAAACGTTTTTTATGAATTGATTGATGGCCCGGCGACCAGGTGGTGAATTACAAACTTTCAAATATCTCGAAAACGGTTAATATTTTAAAGATCAAAGAAGTATAACTTTTTTATACAAAAATGATAAGCCTTTCTAAATTTAATACGTAAATTGTTAATTAATGAAGGACAAAAAATTTTAAGCTGTTTTCTTCTCTTCAATATGGCAAATGTGGCAACATCTACGAGATAACTCTAATGTAATAACATAATCTTGTTCGTCCCTATAAAAAATAGAACTACCCCAATTTTCAAACATGTATCTCAAAATCTCAAAAAATGGCTTCCTTATTAACAGAAGTATATTTTTTCCAACTTTAACAGCCGGTAGATCAGAAAGGAACGATCTCAGACCCATTGTTGTTAAGTAAAATATTTTTATTTTTGCCTTTGGAATCTACAGTTACAATTTGACCTATTACTTATGACACCCATAGGAAAATTAGCAAACTCAATTTGTAATAACATCTGTACGGTTTTGGAATTGGTTTTATAAAATTACTATTTATTATGTTTTTATTTTAGAAATCAGATGTGTCTTGAAAGGTAGAGAAAAAACAAGATTTAAGCAAGGAAAAAACACCGTTACTGGACTTCATGAGTTTTTATTAGCAAAACAAGTTTTATACGATAAAGGTAATTAAAAAGTTATTTTGTATTTTTTTATATTAGAATATTAAATCCATTAGTGCCGTTTCACATGCGACGTATTGTCAGCACTGACGATCCGGGATGAGCTGATCATCATTCAACTAGCTTGAGTTCGATCAGTTGCAAAAATAGGTCTGTTCCAACAACGATCCAAAACCAGTTATTGACACTATGATTGTGCGCAGTAGCTTATTTAGACCGCCAAGTTCATACTGCGCAATACTATTTTACAACGCTGACTATCAGGCTTTAAAAATACTATTTTCACGTTGACGTACGTTTCTCGTGAAAATTAGGCAATCCAAATCATATACTTTAAATGGTGGACCCTTGGCAAAAACAACAAAATACGTGTTTCCCTTAAGAAAAACACTTCTAGTGAGATTATTCGTCTAAGTTTGTATTATTTTTTTTTTTGGGGTATTTAGAGTTGTTTTCGGTGTGTTTAGTTGAAAAGTTGCATATTTTAATGTTTATTTTGAATATTAGGAATAGTGAAATACTAATGAAAAAGTCAGATTAAAACAAACTTTGCTGTTTTTGCCAAGCATCGGCCATTTTTGTCCATCCTGACAGGACATTGGATTGCCTAATTAGTTTTCCCAAGTTTGTCAATAGATCCTGAGGATGTGAATATTAACTACTCCATTATAATAAATATTTCTTACAGACCCTAAAGGTATCATTTGGTTACGCGAAACCGATTCAAGCGACAGCTACAGGCAGCAAGGCAGCAAACACTGCCGTGTTAAAAGTTAAAAGTAGAGATGTGCGATTCGATACGATATTTGACAGTATCGATATTCAGGAGTTGGAAACTCGATATTTTGTATCGATATTCTACGACTTAAAAATATCCCGTATCGATACATGTATATGTTAAATCGTATCGAAAATAAAACAACACTTATGCATCACTAATTATGAATTTAAACTGTCATATATGGATATAAGATATTAAACATTGGTTGAAATACTGTATATATTTTTTAATTATATCTTAAAATCTATTTATGCTTCCGTATATGATTATTTTACATTAATATTTTAAAATTAATTTACTTGTACCATATACAATAGTATACAATATCGATATTTTGAGTATCGATACCTGTGCTTACGATATTAAAGTGTATCGATACATTAAAATTCGATCTGAATCGATACGCAGTATCGATACTTTTCTATGTATCGAACATCTCTAGTTAAAAGTACTGCCGAGTCTCTTATATCGGTCGCGCTGTCCAAAATGTGCCTTATTTAATTACATGTGATCAGACGTAAACAGACGCAGTCGCTTGCCATCTTATCCACCAGTCTCATTCTAAAAGCAAATAAATGATCGTGTTAACCGCCGTAAAACGTATTTTAAGAATCATGTTTCATAATTGAATGAGCTGACGCTGAATGATCGTTTTGTTTACGCTTTGGTCCCTTAACATCAAATTTTATTTGACATCTTTTAATTATAGGCAAATAATTAACAATACTACCGTGTGAACCGTGTGCTCAATGTTTTAATAACGAATATTCATTTTTTAAATCAAAATCGGAAGATACATAAAAAATAAACACATAACCTAATAAAATGCTGACAGCCTTAGAAATTCAAGGTCGACTTTATGATTTTGAATCGTAAAAAAGTATTCTATTTGCGCTTTTATGATTGTCCATCATGATTCGAAAAGCAGTAAAGCGGTTGACAGTTCATCGTCACTGATTCTGATAACACATAATTATAACCACGTTGTACAGTGCGAATGTCTTTTTTATTATGCTATTATCTGAAGATATGTTTGTAATGATTTTTAAATGGCCAAAATTAGTGAGTTAGTATTTATTAAATTAACTTATTTGAGTTTTATTTTTTTTTTTTAGCCTAATAGCCGATATTTTGAGTAAGGTTACATGTAAGTTTACTTGACAGATTAACAACCAATAGCCTTGTAGTTTAATCAGCAATTAGTTACTTTTAACTTTACTCAGAGGTGAAAAGACAGGCCCTTACAATCATAAAATATAGTTATTGCATACTGTTAATTGGTTAAAAGAGATATTGATAAAAAACTGTTTTTAGGACACAACTATATAACTTTTTGCTCCTTAAGCATCAGTTTTTTTTTAGATTCTATTGAACCTGGTGCATACGAATTTCCTTTTGAATTTTTTTTACCTCCTGATTTACCAAATTCTGTTGAAAGAGATCACGGATCTATAAGATATTCTCTGACAGCTACTGTCGATGTACCATTTGGTTTTAACTATGAGGAAAAGATGCGAATATCATTTCAACACCCTGTTGATTTAAATCTTCAACATGAAGTATTATTGGTTAGTACCTACATAACACTAAAAAATAATCTATCTCTCGTAATAAGCACAAATTAAACTAGTTCATTAATATACATTTCAATACAAATTATTAAGGTAATAAATATTTTAGGGAAACATTACCTATGAATGGCAAGAAATAATCAATTGCTTATGTTTCGCTACTGGAAATGCAACAATGAGGGTCACTTTACAAGAAAAAAACGCATATCTTCCAGGAGAAATGTTAAAAATGTTCGTAGATGTTAACAATTTTAGTGGTGGCAATATCGAGCGACTTGACGTTACTTTAACGAGGGTTAGTAAAGTTATGTTTACTAATTTGATAAAATAGTTATTTATGCAACAAGTGTGTAAAGTTACTCTTTTTTGACGAATGTGAATGTTGTCGCAAGAGCCGTACGCGAGTGCGACAATCACAAGAGTCAAAAAAGGGACTTTACACAAGACTTGCATATAATATTTTTTCTACTACCGTACACATTATCTACTAATATTAGAAATTTAAAAGTTACTTTTTTCACTAAAATAACTTTCTTTCACTTTACGTACTAGTGAAAAAAGTAAAACTTTACGCACGGCAGTAGAAAAAGAAAAATTTATGGAATCACCTCGTTATCTGCCCTTTTGTCATAGACGTTTTATTCAGAAAATAATAGTAAATAATAATAATAAACAAACTTTATTCCATAAAACTGCTTTTACAAAAAAAAATTTGCAATGTATATTAGGCTGGGCCGAAATAGGCATATTTTTAAAAAATATAATAATTAATATCTATCCAAACTTGCGTTTTGCCTGAGCTTACTTTTCGTAATTTTTTAAAATTTCTAAATCCACTTTTTCAGCTCTTTACAGCCGTTTGGGGAAAAAAGTTAAAATTTGAAATTTTGACGTTCAATACCTACTGAAAGTTACATTTTAATGTTTGTATTCACACTCTTTATTTTTAATATTTTTAAATAACATCTTCAGTCCTTTTAACCAATGTTAAATCCTTCTGTCTTTAAAAGATAAGGTAAAAATTACTTGAACAACAAATAAATATTACACGATTAAAACTAAACAAAACATTTATTTAAAAAATGGTAAAAAGTACCTAAAGAAATCACACATAAAAAGCTAACAAATCAAACATAAAAGCTTACAAATCAAATATAAAAAGCTGACGCATCAAGTACAAAAAAACATAGTAATAAAAAAACATTTACTGACTTTTAAACTGTCGTTTACTTTCAAATATTGATATAATTTCTTTAGATTTTATTCTTGAACGAATAAAGCCGTCTCTTGATTCTAGACCAATTACTAAAGAAAATGACTCTGTAACTAATTTTATGCATCTCTCAACGGATTGAGTATGGCAAGGAAACTTCGGAAAATTAAAGTCTGGAATTTCAGTTTCGTTTATAAGGTCCCTAAGATTATCATCAGTAAAATCCCTTACAACAGGAGGCGGTGTCACATCGTACCTACACATTCCAGTAAATTAACTCAACGTAGTCTGTAGATCAATTTTTGGTACCACAAAGTGTCTTTATTTCAACGATTTCTCGACTGGTTTCTCTAGTTTCTAAGATTCTTCGTAGAGATAGTTCATGAGTGTCTGTTAGCATACACAAAAAATGTTTTCGGGGTGTATAAAATACGCGTTTCTTTGGATTACAGCATCCACAATACTTTTTAAATCATCTCTGAAATACCGTGACAGTTCAATCGTTTTAAATAATGCAAATTTCCACTAGTGGAACTGAAATTTAGTTTAATATTAAATCACATTGGGGCATACACTTTAATTTTGAATTTGGCCATATCTGTAAGACCTGATGTTGGATTTTCAGTTCCAGCATAGAGCCGAAGAACACGATTTGCCATTGTGAGCTATCTAGAGTGCGCTAATTTCACAGAAATACGGTGTGCTATATTTGATGAGAAATTGCCGCTTGATATTGCAATGCAAATTTTATAGAAATATGATTGATCAGAACTTAAATCTCTAGACATTACAGTTATATTTGGCAACTCGCATTTTATTGGGATAAAATTTACAATTTTAAGACGTTCACATTTTTCTAAAGACTTCCTGATTTCACCAGAATAATGACGAGGTCCCACTGTAGGGCAATCTTAATGTTGGAATAAATGTCTTAATGGCAATTCGTTGGAGTTTAGTTGGCAAATATACCATTGTAAAGGACGTTTTAATTTAGTCTCAATATACCTAATAACACCTTTTTATAACCAGTGTTAACAACAGTACCATCATAACCCACAGCATCTACTTCCAAATAATTTTTAGCAAAAAAGTCCAATATTGCTTTTCCAATCCAATCCAATTTTCCGTCCCTGTAGTTGGAATTACGTGGTCAATATAGATAGATTTAGGTTCCTCGATAAGCGATATGTGTTCCTCAACAACAGTTTTCTTGTATAACCTACCGTTCTTCTTCTCTTGCAGTAAACTTTTGTCCTTTCTTCCATCAAAATACAGACTTCTTATTCTTCTGTTATCACTTTCAAACTCCTTCCTTGCGGTATTTCTAGATTTCTTTCGCTCTCTTCTCACTTTATTTCTGTCAAATATTTTCGACGGATCTTCTGTGGTAATTATTCCTACATCTTTTAGTACTGCACTAGCAATCGCAGCAGCTGATCGATCAGATATACCATATTTATCGCATACAAGACCTAACGTAGGTAACTTTGTTCTCATTTGAGTGTTTTTTGAGGATAACTTGAGATTGATAAAGTCGTCATCTGAAGAGGATTGATATTTTGAGGGGTCAGATTCTCACAATAATGTAGTAGTTTGAGAGGAACAGCTGGGTCTTAATAAATTGCAAGATTCTGATTCATATTTCGTTAGTCTTTCAGTTTCTCTGAATTGCCTTTGTTTACTCGACAATATTTTCTTTGTTTCTTTACGGTTTACATTTTCTACGTTTATTTTTCTGAACGATAATAATAATACTCTCCCTAATTCACCCCCTTACGAGTGAATTTCAACCCCTAAAGTCGACTGAACGACTTGTGTAGGGGAAGGGACGGCTATTATTATTATTTGCCGTGGCGCTCCGGGGCGACTTAAGGATGATTGATGGTGCCATTTGACTTACAGGTGAGGAAAACCCGGAAAACCTCACCCACCATCATCGAGACGATAATGTATGGCGATTTTATAATCTGCATGTCATATCAACAGAAATTGATCTTTCAATTAATACGGCACACATCAAATCCTAAACCGAACCATGCAATTTAATTAAAAATCTACATGGTCTGGTCTGGGATTCGAAGCCCAGCAGTCTCGGACTCATAAATTCGCCTATAAATGAATATAAGCGCGATAGACCGCTACACCATCGACCCGATTCTGAACGATCTTTGATCAGAAAGAATAGTTTGTTCCTTAGTAGGTACTTTCCTGGTCTTTTCACCCATGCATGCAGAAAAATCGTATTTACAAGCAACTATGTCAAATAATTTTTTATGACACTCTATTTTAAATATGTTTACCTTCTAATCATAGCTGTTATTTCGCTTACTTCTGGGATATCTTATTAAATTCTTATATTTTTCAAAATACTTCCGTATTAATTGCACAATTCTGTCTTTTAAAACAGTTGGAATTGCTGCCTCTTTCTAAGTGTTTTCAATTTTAGGCACAAGTTAATTTTAAACTTTTAAAAAACTTTGTTCTTTTCCACTATATTTTTGATTTTTGGTTCATAGCGCATGAGTAAATAACATCATAGCATTTGTTCAATTGTTGCCAACATACGAGGGTTCAAATTGGTTGGGTTCACAAATATAGGACATTCCACATTACTCCTAGTTAAACTAACATTTAAAACACTCATTTTTGTTTATGATTGTTTATTACAATGCTTAACTTCTCAATCAAAAACAAAGTTAAGCAGATGTTCGCTGTACGACGATTAGACACAAGAGTTGCAGATTCCACACAGAAATTTGGCAACATGTTTGCCTTCAGCGACATATGGGATAATTTTGTGCAACTAATATTCAGTCGGTAATATAAAAAGCTGTTTTGCTATTTTAATTTGAAAATTGGCGGGCTTTTGAATTTACTTCTACAAAATATAAGAATTTTACATTTTCAATAGCATTTTTTTAACACGCATCTCATGCGTGTTAAAAAATGCTAATAAAAATGTAAAATTTTATGTTAAATAATTTTAGAGCTATAAAATAAATAATAGGTACAAAATTGTATTATAACTAAATATTATTTGTAGAATCTTTATTGGTTACAACAATAAACATAATATATATTTTCTGAATAAACAACTATTTTAAATAACACAAAACGAACAAAATTTTTCTATACTCGTGCGAAATAAAACAAGAGTTCCATCCATAAATCCTGAAATGAAATGAAAAAAATAAAAACAATTGTTGAAAGCAAAAAACTTCTTAAAACACATGATTTTGATTGTATGTGACTAATTAATTTTGCATTTGCAGCTATTTAACTAATTTTTAATTTACTACTTCTAATTTCTATAATTGTCTAATTAAGATTTTCTTGCTTTATGCAATGAAAATACTTTAGATTTGTAAAGATTAAAAAGTTTGGTTAATACATATAATTAAATTCGCATATCTAGGATAATTATTATCAAAATGAATATCAGAATTTAAGCTTTGTTAAGAATTTCAATATTTGGGGATAACACAATTACTAATACGAATAATAATCCTTTTTTCAGTTAACAATAAAGTGAAAATGTTTGTTCTAAAACAGTGTAAATGGGCCAGAATAATTTACTATTACAATCAATTATATGCATTTATAGGACATAGACATGCAAAAGTATCAAAATAAGTTTACTTACAGTAAATTATTACTAAATTTATGCCTAAAACTGCATTAAATAAAAGTAAAACTCACTTGTATTTTGTATCAATCGGGTTTCGGCTATCGAGTCGACTCGAGCGTTAACGAGATTTGGGTTTTGTTATCCAACGCCAGATTTACATTGTACAAATAATTGAATAAATTCATATTTCAATTTTACGATAGATAAATAAAAAAAAATGTGAAACTATTATTTTTGGCAAGTAACTAACACATTTTTAATGAGATATTTTGTAATTATTCTGTTTTCTTTATAATTTAAATATAATTGTGTTACTGTAAAACTGACGTACGCGTTTCGATGCGCAGTAACTTGTTGACAAAATGCGCATATGCTATAAACCCCCCTGCATAATACCGCCCGAATCTAAGAAACAGCGTGTTTATAACCAATCCCGAAAACGTGTTAAATCTTGCATCGACAACTGCAAGTTGCGAATTTTAATAATTACCAGGTCCTGTTTTGTTTCTACCTATTTAAATAAATTACAGTATTAGGTGATTTGAAGTTGAGATTGAGAAGATATATTGTTTAAAAAGTAGGTACTATTCTTATGTAACGGTGAGAGTGGGATGTTAAAAAGAGTGAAAATTAAAGGACGCTTTTATAGTGGGAAATAGTTGGGTTACAATTCTACTAAATATCGGGATTTTAATTTTGTCATGACGACAGTAAATTTCTTTATCTATATAAATTTTCTAAGGGGGCGGTAACAAGCTTAAAGCGTATTTCTAAAATTTAAAAAAAAAATAACAATCAGTCTATATGCTTAAAAACAGCTTTTAATGGGTATATCTAATTAAAATTTTACATATAATTTTAATTTTAATTTTATTTTTGGCTATTTTGGGGGCAGGTAGAGGTCTGAAAATATAATTTTAAAATTGTAAAAAAAATTACTAGCAGTTTTTATAATGAAACGCAGCTTTTAAATGCTATAGCAAATTAAAATTTTAACTTTCATTTTTTCGGCCCATCCTAATGTATATGTAAGAAAGGGGGAAGTTCACTTCACACCTGCAGCAGATTGTACATGTGACCTGGTTTTCCAAATAACCTATAAGACAAAGGCAAAGAGACATCATTTTAATACATTAGCAAACAAACTGACCTGTAACTAGATCAAAAGTATGTTTGGAAATCGAAACATCATTTTTTATCACTGCAGAAAAAAAGAGTTACTTTTAGGCCTACCAGACGATTTCACCCCTATAGACTATTTTGGTGGATACAAATATATATTGAAAAATTCTTATTCTACTATAGAAGCCAACAACTTGAAATGCAAAATACTTTATTAATCAATATACTCTCCTCTTAATGTAATACATTTATTACAACGAACTGCAACGCCTCTAGACTTTTCAAAAACAGAAGTTATTTTGGCCTCTATAGCTTGGAAGAAAATTTACAAAATTTTAAACTTCTTTTCAGATGAGAAAGAGATGACGGAGCCAAATCTGGTGAATAGATGATATTCGAGTAATTCGAATCCCAAATTACGAGTGTGTAAGGAGGCATTGTCCTGTAATACCAAAACACCTTTGGACAACTTTTTCACGTCTTTTCTCCTAAATTTTTTCTCGTAGTTTGGTCAGTAATGGCGAATAGTAATTTCCAGTTATTGTTCTACCCTTATTCAGATAATCAATCAAGATTACTCTATAGTAATCCCAAAAAACTGAAGCAAGAACTTTTTCAGCAAATTTTTTAACACAAAACTACTTAGGCCTTGGAGAACCAGAGTGTCTTCATTCCATCGATTGCTGCTTTGTTTTTGGGTCGTAGAAATATACCCAAGTTTCATCCATAGTTACAACACGGCATAAGAAGTCTGCATCTTTTTCAAATCGAGCACATATTGAACTCGATGCTTCTACCCTTGCATGCTTCTGGTCAACATTCAGACATATGGGGATCCATTTTCCAGATTTTTTTATGTCCAAATCGTAAACTATATGATGGACGCAGTCATATAAAATATTCAGTTCCTCAGATGTTGGTTTTAGCCCAATTTGACGATCTGATAAAATCATGTCATGAACTTCATCGATATTTTCCATCTTCAATGGAAAATTTCTCTCTTTTGAAGCTCGCAATCTAATTTTTCACGGTCTGACATTGTTCGCCAAGAGTACTAAGTATATATTCGTAAATCTGCTTACCTCTTCAAATACAGGTACTTGATGGCTCGATACTACAATTTCTCTTTTCATAATTTCGGTCGATATATTTTTTTTTTTCAAATTTTATTGCGCAAAATTAGTTTGACTTTTTGATGTGAAACTTTACACTGACACTTCTACTAAGTTATTGATCGTTGGTATGGTAACGCAATATTTTTTTATCCATGGAACCGGTCTAGGCTAACTAGAAATCAATACATCCTCGTAACTTGCTAGACGAACTCTCCCAGCAGGAGGTAGATTTTCAATGTTAAGCGGATGATCTGGTTATCATAATTAGGGAAAGTACGAAGAGGTGACCTTTAACTTTCTTTAACCATCCCCAAATACGATCAAAGAGGGTGCGAGAGAGAGCAGATGCCTGTACTGTTTTCGTCCCTTTTCCTCAAAAGAAAAACAAGCTTCGACCACTTAATTTGGCCAGGGAAACTATTTCTTCTGCAGATGAGTTGAAATATCTGGGGATTATCCAGAGACTTTCAAAAGAATAACGCTCAAATCATGGGATATCAGTCCACAAATGATCTACTGGATTTACCAAACCATGGTAAAACACAGTTGCGTACGGCTTGGTCGGGAAAAAAATTTCAACGGACAACTAGACCAAATCTGGCTGGAATCCAGCAGCTTGCGAACGTCGCTAGATTGGGGCAATGTCAACCATGAATAACGTACCGGAACTAACCCCTCACAACATTTTGGTGGAAAAGGAGGGAAGGATGATCTCCGACAGACTCCTGACTGTGGGTAGTCAATGTAAGAATGAACTACAATGCGTCAAACAGGATTGTTAAGTGAAATTAATAACCACTACATTTTTGACTTGCTAGCACAGAAATATCAAACAACGTTCCAATTCAAGACATATATGTATGAACAGAGGGATAAAACACCTTCCTTGCCCAGGTGGACTCTGTATGGTACACGGACAGCCCCAATACCGAAAAAGAAGTAGGAGCAGGAGTTTTCGGTCAGAAGCCAAGAGTTGACATGTCAGTAAACCTAAGTACGCTGACCACAATCTTTCAAACAGAAATGATTGTTATAGAATTGGGAACGGGAGAGTTGAATCATTTTTTCCTTGCTAATAAGAATGTAAATATGCTAAGGAAGTGCATAAATACCCTTGAGTCCTTCGGTTTTCGGAATAAAGTTATTTATATCTGGGTTCCAGGATACAGTAATATGGAAGGCAATAAAATGCTGACGAGCTCACTAAAAGAGTAACCGGAACCATTCATTAGCATTGCAAAGAGCACTGCTAAAGGAATTATCAAAATGGGCAGAGGCTGTAACACTCATTAGCTGGAGAGATACCCCAGGGCTCATTCGAAGGCTTTTAAACCCAATATATCTTTGGATTTCCTGATTCATCCGACTGGAATTAGTTATTATTTCTGTAATCGATTATTTGATTTTAGATAACAACTTTTAAAAGCGACAGAGGAAGTTTTATCAAAAAAAAAGTGCCATTAACACGTCAAACTCACAACGGAGTTCGTTCGAATTCCAAAAATACTTACTCCATTGGTTATCGCATTCCGCAAGCCATTCTTCCGAGTAATTTTTTTAGGTGTACATTAATTAAAGAGGTTTATAGATTAAGAGTAAGTAATACAATTTTTTTGTTTTGTCTCAGTTGTGTATTATTAAGATTCCTACAGATTAAATGTACCTACATTTTATATACAGTGTGTGCTATAAGGCTTTATCCATATGGTCTTTTTTTTTAAATATTACGATTAGAAAAAAACGTCGTAAGACAATCATCTCTGCTAATTTAAAAACTTAAAATAGCCCACATCAAAGTTGGCTACTGACATTAGTTCTGTCAAATTCGCATTTAAAAAAAAATTGAACGTTTTTTCAAAAAAATACCGAATTTGACAGTTAACTAATGCACTAAAAAATGCCCATGTGGATCCAAGAAGTTGTCAAATAAACATAGTTAAAACAAAGAATAATAATTAATAAATTTAAAATCGGACATGAACAGGTGGAGGAAAAATTAAATGAATTAATAAGTCTGCTTATGTTTATTTGTTTTTTTTTTTTTACAAAAATATGAATCTTGAGTATTGTAATGACTGGTCTCATTTAGTTTAGTAGGTCAGTAGTGTATTTATCTGTTCAGTATGGCAAATTAATATTTAAGTGCGTTTTGAAGAATACATTTTAAATAAGAATATATTCGGGGAGGTCTGTGAACTTGGCACCACAACATAGCGAAAAAAGGTCAAAAATGTTTGAGAGGTTTGCCCATTATTGCCCATGGAATAACTTTTTTTGCCCACCCTCTGTTTTCACAATATATCAAAAATAATTTTCGCGGGCCAACTTCCAGACAAAAGTTAAAATTTTCATAATTTAATTTTACGGCATAATAGCATTTCGTTTGCCCACGTTTGCCCATAAATTAGTTTTTTCAGAAAATAAAAATTAAAGAAAATAAAACAAATAAAAAAAAATATTCACAAAAATGCAATATGATAACTGCATTAGATAATCATTCGTTAGCCCACGTTTGCCCATTTTTTTGTTTCACCAATTTCCATAACGATCCTCAAAAAAAATTTAATTAAAACAGGGATTTGATGACAATTCCACTATCCGAGATTTATACAAGTTTATTTGTTATAAAAAAATGGGCAAACATCGAAATAGAGCCTGAATATTTGTGAGTTACTAAAAAATGTTTTATGAGGTTTGCCCATTTTTTTTAAATCCTCGTCCAATCCCCTATTTTTATGTCACTAATAAACACATATAAATGCACTATTATCGGAGTTTACGCCCCGCTATTGGACGAGGATTTTTTTAAAAAAATGGGCAATCCTCAGAATACATTTTTTAGTAACTTACAAGAATATTTGAAATAATTTCGATGTTTAGCCACTTTTTTATATTAAGTAAAAACACAGAAATGCACTATTATCGCAGATTAAGCCACCCTATTGGACGAGGATTTTTTTTAAATGGACAATCCTCAGAATACATTTCTTAGGAACTTTCAATTATTTTGGAATAATTTAGATGTTTGCCCATTTTTTTATATTAAATAAAAACACAGAAATGCACTATTATCGATTAGGCCCCCTATTGGACGAGGATTTTTTTTAAAAAATGGACAATCCTCAGAATACATTTTTTAGCAACTTTGAATTATTTTGGAATCATTTCGATGTTTGCCAATTTTTTTATCACTAATAAACCCATATAAATGCACTATTATCGGAGTTCAAGCCCCCCTACTAGACGAGGATTTAAAAAAAAAGGGCAATCCTCAGAAAACATTTTTTAGTAACTCACAAATATTTTGGTATTATTTCGATGTTTGCCCATTTTTTTTATAACAAATACACTCGTATAAATCTCGGATAGTGGAATTGTCATCAAATCCCTTTTTTAATTAAATTCGTAATGGAAATTTGTGAAACAAAAAATGGGCAAACATGGGCTAACGAATGATTATCTAATGCAGTTATTATATTGCATTTTTGTGCCTGGGCCCGCGAAAATTATTTTCGATATATTGTGAAAACAGAGGGTGGGCAAAAAAAGTTATTTCATGGGCAATAATGGGCAAACGATGGGCAAACCTCTCACACATTTTTGACATTTTTTTGCAATGTTGTGGTGCCAAGTTCACAGACCTTATTCGGAGACTTGTTACATAAGTGCGCGGGTGATTTTAATTTTTATCAATGTTTCTTATAACGCATAAATATAATCAACTTTGTTCGGTGAAAATTGTACAGTTATACAATTTGGAATTAATTATACTTAGTCTTTTATTTTTCATTTATTTTTTATTATTTGAAAAAGTTGTTTATTTTAATGACTTCTATACATAGTTAAAAAAAGTATCAACTGTATTTATATTGTATTATTTATTAAAACTATTGTAGGATATTACTAGAAAATAGAATGCCCAACTTGACCAAAATATATACATCGTGACTGGTAAATGGAGGTGTTCCTTTGAGGAGATGAAAGTAGAGCCTATTTGCTACCTCTATACCATTCTGATTTTATTTTCTATACAAATTTAATATTATTTTACGAAAAACTCTGTTTTTAAACGCACGGAATATTTGTCTTCCAGAAAAGTGTTTATGTTAATACTATTAAGATACGGAGGTATCGGATTACGAATATGCTAGCTAAGACTAAAATCTTAAGCAGGCAATCAGGCATAGATCATTTAAAATTTGAGTTAGTTGCTTTGCGGGACAAAATTAATGTTCTTAATAATAATAAACTTATTAATTAAAAAATTAATCGACTTACCTTAAGGAATATTAACTGTAATTTTCCGAGCTTGTCCGTAGATATAATTACATTGTAGTTTACTTGAAGGTTATTCATCCAAGTGCTAACCGCGCCCAACACGGCTTAACTATGGTGATCGGACAAGAACCGATAGTCGCCTTGGAAATTATTTCTGATAATAGTATATCTTAATCTCTTTCTTTAGCTTGAGGTAACGGTCTGACGGCCCCCTCTCTTTCTTATTATCCTTCATTCTTCCATTGTACACTGTTATAATTTTTAATTAAACTTATTGGGCTTTTCACACATGGTTCGATTGTTTTGAATAAAAAGGTATTGATATTCCTTTAACTTAACTTAAGTCCACTCGGTCTTGTTTAATATTTTTACAAGCCTGTAATAAACCTAAAAGGCACCTATTTTTAGCGTGATGTTGCAAAGTTCTCAAAATTCCTCCAATTATAAATGAGGGATATGAGCCGACATGGCATGATGAACATCGCTAAATAATTGACAGACTTATGCCTAAATTTTGTGATAAATCGGTCGTGTTCCAGCCCTGGTTCTGGCAAGCAGGCTTGAATTTCCTTCTAGAGTTTTACCGT